ATTACAACGAGAGGCAAACTGTAAGTAGGCCTTATTTTCGGAGGATGTCTTATTTTCGGGGAAACAGGGTATTTTGAGTGTGTTAGCTCACGTGGAGCTAGCGTGTGTCTGTCTGTCCACTCTGGGAGCCACCCCCTGCCCCAGCTGCAGTGGAGACCTATCTTTGAAGAACTTACGATCTAAATAGACAGGATAGATGAGGGGGGGGGTGGATTTGGCTGATTTCTCTACCTTATTGGTGACGCTGTCCACTGCGGTGAGGAAGAGCAGGTCGGCCAGGAAGAGGCAGAGGCAGAGCTGCAGGTGGAGGGAGGTGCTGACGTTGCGGATGGAGCGGCACAGGAGGAAGGTGAGGATGGCGAGGAAGAGGCACAGCAGGGAGAGGGTCAGTCCCACGAAGGTGATGATGGTCAGTGGGTAACTCTCCTGCAAAAGGAAAAATTAAAGGCAAAATAAAATTTTCAAATCACGCTGGAGAAACAGGGGCTTTGAAATAACCGGATAATTTCCCAAGGCAATCAGATCTCTAGCTCCGTTGTTGGAGAACATGGAGGACCCATCTGCTCCCTGCCCCTTTCACTAGGTAACTCAGAGGAGCAACACATGTGTTGAGTTTGCAGCCCCAAGATGATCTCTGGATCTCGTAATGACTGTAAACTAATTGGAACAAATACCCGGCTGACTCATGCCCCGTGCCACCTATCTGACATCTAACATGCTGACCAAGTACACCTAATCATGACTTTCCTACTGGCTGGCTCCAGCCATTTTAACTATATTTACAGCCAAAGGCATTACTCCTTTCGTGTAAGTGGTGGACCCCTGCGTTTTGGGTGTCGAAGGGCTCTGGTTTGTTCTTGCAAACAGCCGCAGCGTCTGTGCGAATGCAACCTCAGTTTCTTACATGTGGACCATGAGTTTAAGCGGACGGCTGAAATACCTTGATAGCATGTGACGCCATCAGGATGGCAAAGCTGGACAGGTGAGTACAGGTGCAGGTGGTGTGAGTGCTGTTCGCACAGAGAAGTTTGCAGCCCTCAGTAGACCAGGTGCCAGTGAGCTTCCAGAAAACACAGATAATCTTGTCTTCCATTTCCATTCTCTAGAAACAGACATTGCAGCACCAGGTTTACAAGTTCATCAGGGAATTTCAATACTTTTTGAAGGCTTTAGGGTGGGTATTGGGGGACCCTTAGCATTCAGCCATTATCAGTTTTAAGTTGAATTGCCTCCTCATTTAAACTTGATGTGGTGGAGAAGGAAGAGCCAGTGGAAAGATTCAAATTATAGGGCATCTGTGGTACTGATGGGCAAGGAAGATCATTTTAGCAGGACTGAAGGGAGGCATTATGGATACTGGGGGGCCCAGAGAGGAGGCTGCAGTAGAAAGGTAGAAGGTGACCAGAACCATTGCGAGGGCAAAGAGGAAAAAACAGATTTTGGGGGAAGAAGAAGCATCAAGATTTGAACTCATCTTGGGGGTAGGGGAGGCGCCAGAAGGAGTTGAAGATGACCTTCGTTAGTGAGGCCAACTGGAAGAGGACGGCAGTGTTGACAATAGAAACACAGAGAGAGGACAGCTGGGAAAAGCTCCTGGCCAAGAGGGGTCCCTCGTCCATTTCAAGCAGGGACATGATTGCCAATCACCTGTTTATGCTCCAGGGTGAAGTAGAAAGGTTTGGGGAGGGGTCCGGGTTTCCCAATGGTCCCACTCACTACCTTGGAATTCAGCGTAATGCTAACCAGGTTGTCATCCCCTGTCAGGTTTTGCTGGTCGATAAAGTTATTGTTCAGGATGGACTCGAGAGTGGCATACGAGATGAAGGCAACGACTCCGGAGCCTGCAGGAACAAAGATGCAAGAGGTGACACCAGAACAGCCTGTGTCCTGTGTCACACCGCAAGGAGCTGGAAGAGCTCCTGGCTGGGGGGCGCAGCCAAACCAGCGATGAGAAGGACACAGGTACGGAGAGATGGAACGGCTCCCCCACGTTCGTACAGAGTGTCAGTGGCAAAATTGGGACTAGACCCCAGGACTCCTTACTCCCTGCACTGGCCAACGAATAACACTTCCTCCTAGGGGCCCATCGGCCAACCAGGACTCAGCAGAGCATGGTGCACTCCAGCTCCGCTGCCGCTAGTGCTGGAAAATCCACCCCCGTCCTGCTCTGTCTGAACCCTCCAGCCCTGACGTGTCCTCTGCACAAGAGAAGCCACAAGGGCAGCACTTAATTTGTGCCAGGGCCAGAGCCCCAATACCTCTAGGCTTGGCAGCTTAGCCTGGCACCTCTGGGTTTCCTGCGTCCGTTATGAAAGTAAAAACTTTGCTTGAGTCCTGGTACCTAATTGCTTGAGTCCTGGCCCCACTTTCATTACAAATTAGGCACTGCACAGAGGGTCGGTGTAAAGCAACCCAAGTCCCCCTGGGGAGTCTGTCAGGGCTGCTCTAAGTTCCCTCTGCAGCCCTGGAAGATCTGGCCTCAGAGCTGGAGCTGTGGAATGGGTTGGAGAGGTTGGATTCCTTCCGTTGCCTGTCCAGACAACTCCCGGATGGTACCTGCTTTGCTGGCGCCAACCACTGTCGTGCAGTCAATGCTCATCAACTCGTTTTCAGCGTTCAGTTCGATCATCTTCCCTTCCCGACTGCAGTTATCCGTAACCCGCAGGGCTGCGATGGCTGGGGGCGGAAGGACAAGTTCTTCACTGCGCTGCTTTGAAAACTACCCTCCATTTAGCACAGAGCCTGATTCGCCTCCCACTCCCGTGGCGGCAGGGAGCAAGGCTGCGGTAAAACCAGCAGAGCCGAGAGAAGAATTAGGAGCCCGGATTGTCTTTATGTCCTTTGTGCCTTGCACCTAACACAATGGGGCCCTGCTCCATCATGACTGCGGTTCATAGGCACTACCACAATCCTGCTACTAGCCGAGATCAGAGCCCCGTAGTGCTGGGCACCATAGGCAAATGCAGCAAGAGACCGCTCCTGCCCCAAACAGCAGGAAGGATTCGTATCCCCATTTTACAGACAGGGAAACATAAGCAGGAAGCGATTTGCCACGGTCCCTCAAAGAACGTGTGGCAGAGGCAGGAACGGTACCCGGCTCTCTTATGCTTTAGCCCAGCACCCTAGCCCCGAGGCCACCCTTCATCGCAGAAAGCACCGAGGGTGGCGCTCAGAGCTGTGTGAACGTTTTTCCTTTTTCTTACTCATCGTGTCTCCCGTGATAGTCTGCGTCTCGTTCCCGGGGCTTTTCAGAGCAGCTACCAAAGCGGCTGATTCTACGCTCTGCAGAAACATTTTGGCTACCAATGCAACGTCCTTCTTGCTCCCATTAATCTGCTGGGCAGTGGCATTGAAAAGCAAATCGATAGAGGTAGAGACTTCCTGGGGTTTAAACAGAAGACACCCTGGGTAAAGCAGGGGCTGTCAAACAGTGGCCCACTGGTTAACGGAGAGATGGTCCCATGGATCCACCATTTATCCTCCCCATTCACCATCACGGAACAGGCCAGGGCAGCTACAACTGCTTACATGGATGGGTGATGTTAGGCAGGCTTTTAGGGTCCCCTCCCGCTCCACATGCTTCTTATAGTCTGGCCCTCTGCTCCACATGGCTCCCATGCCACCCAGGTACTAGCTCCCATCAAGATACTGCCTTGTGATCTTTCTCCAAGACATTCATCACCCACTCTTGGCTGGCAGCTGAAATTCCACTCGCTGTTGGCTCCAGTCTACTCTTCTAGAGTAGAGGCAACTAAGCCTTGTTTTCAGCTGCTTTTAAAGACTCCCCCCCAGGTTCATCTTTGGAAGGAAGTATCTGGAGACCGGTGGCAGCAGCTGGGGATGAAGAGGAGGGACTTTGCCTTGGAGGGCAGGGACTGGCAAATACAGGTACACAGCCTCTGACCTTCGGCGGTAATGACTGGTTTCCATTACCACATGCAGATTCCAGGCTCTTTGAGGTCTGATTCAAGAAGGTGCACAATGTGTTGCTTTGCTGGTTTCCCTGTAGGGGAATCATGGAAAAAGGAGTTAATGCTGTAACATATCTATCTACCCACTCATGGGGGGAAGATGGGTGTCCATGTCCATCCACCTGTTCTGTCCCTCTTAGCCCACGTATCTATCTATCCATCCTCTCTATCTACCTCTGGCTATTTCTCCATCCACCCATCCTCTCCACCTCTACCCTTCTCTAGGTACCAGCTCTAGTCCATTCATCCTTCCTCTCCATCTTTGTCCATCCATACTACCCAACCCAGAAGCAGCACGCACACTGTCTGAGTGAACTACAAACTACACACACAACCCTCACATCCATTCTCTCCCTTTTCCCCTTTTGCCCTGCACACAAAGATGACCCAATTCAGAATCATTCGACACATACGTGCTGGGTGCTGTTGCCACACAGGCTTTTGAAATCATCTCCGTGCATAATCCTGGGCTGGCAGCTGAGAAGATTTTCTAGGGAAGGAAGAAGGGAGCCAACATTGGGGCCTTTCTTATAAGGATCAAAACTCTTTATGATGGGATCAAAGCATCATTACGCTTCCGGGCACAGAAATGAAACCCAGCAAAGTTCAGTCGACAGAAGAGCTGATGCTAAAGCTAAAGGAATCGGTTTATGGGGCCCAAGAAGGTGGCACCACTCCAGATGCAACTTTCCCCATAACAACGATATGAAGAAATTCCATGGGCGCAGTTGGCTCCCATATGCTACTGCCTACAAACATACACAAACATGCAAGGCCTAGCTACACACACACTGGTTTGTGGGCAGCTTCTGAACCACAGACGGCAACGATTGCCACTAGAAAGCTCACAGACTGCTGTTAGCCTTTGGGGCCATCAGGACCTGATTATATTCCCTGGGTTTCCCAGGGCGGCTTGTAGTGACTGGTACCTGTGCAGTTCAAGGTGTGGGAGTCACCAGGTTTCCAAGAGGTCCCACTGGCGGAAGAATAACCTGGAGAACATTGGCAGGTGAAACTCCCTCGGGTGTTGTTGCATTTGTTGTGAGGGCCACAGACTGGTGGGTCCTGAGAACATTCATCAACATCTAAACAGAAGAAAATGGAAACAATTATTCATTAACGTCTATACCAGAAAACACAGAATCTATCATTGTGCAGTCGCCGTGGGGAAGCATGGATATGCCAGGTTATGTTTGCTATGCTATGGTAATTACAATTACACTCTTTGATAGTCCCTTGACTCTGCCCTGGAGAGACCTTAGAGCAGAGGTGGGCAAACTACGGCCCGCAGGCCATATCCAGCAGGCGGGACCCTCCTGCCCGGCCCTTGAGCTCCTGGCCCGGGAGACTAGCCCCCGGCCCCCTCCTGCTGTTCCCCCTCCCGCAGGCACAATGCTCTGGGAGGTGGGGCTGCGAGGTCCTGGGGCAGCGCAGCCGCAGAGCCTCGGTCTCACCCGGTGCTCCAGGCAGCGCGGTAAGGGGGCAGGGAGCAGGCGGGGTTGGCTAGAGGGAAGAGGAGTAGAGGGCAGAGGAGTTCAGAGTGGTGGTTGGGGGGCGGGGGTGTGGATAGGGATCGGGGCAGTCAGGAAGGAGAGGAGGGGTTGAATGGGGCAGCAGGGGGCAGTCAGGGGCAGGGGTTCTGGGGGTGGTCAGGGGACAGGGAGAAGGGCTGGTTGGATGGGGCAGGGGTCCTGGGGTGGGGGTGTCAGGAATGAGAGGAGAGGTTTGATGGCACGATGGGGGGCAGTCAGGGGCGGGGGTTCTGGGGGCAGTCAGGGGACAGGAAGCAGGGGGGGTGGATGGGGCAGGGGTCCCGGAGGTCGGGCAGGGGACAGGGAGTGGTGGATGGGACAGGAATCCTTGGGGGCATCAGGGGGTGAGAAGCAGGAGGATCGGATAGGGGGCGGGGGCCAGGCCATGCCTGGCTGTTTGGGGAGGTACAGCCTCCACTAACCAGCCCTCCACACAATTTTGGAAACCTGTTGTGGCCCTCAAGCCAAAAAGTTTGCCTGCCCCTGCCTTAGAGTAAAGGACAATAAAGGCCTTGTTATTTTTATAAACTATATGCTCTAATTCAACTAGGTTTTTGAGGTTAAGGTAGGAATGGCTGGGTGGAATTCTCTAGACTGTGATATACAGGAGGTCAGATTATATATTATCACAATAGCCTCATATATCTGAATATGCAGAACAACTGTGTTAACAACCCCAGGAGTTCTTGTGAGTCCTTCGGATGGAATCCACTGCCCAGACAACAGCAATAGAAATATTGCTCATCACACCAGAAAGTCCATTTCCGTTTTCACGCTGGTCTTTTGAAGGTGCTGTGCAAAGGAGCAAACATCTTCAAAAGATGAGCATGGCAACTTAAATTCATAACTCTGCTAGTCACTAAATGTCATGGTCTCAGGCCAGCTCTACAATACAGACCTATATTGGTAAAATACATTCCTCAGGGATGTTCTGCCAAGGCTTCCATGATTGGAAGACTACTCTATACCTTATGTGACGGGGCAAGGCCAGATGGCTATAGGAAAGTAGTGCGAAACAGGTATGTTAGCCCCAGGCTAAACAAATCCGTTACCGTAGTAACCAAATGGCAGTTGCTCCAGGTTAATCAAGACACCTGGGACCAATTAAGCTCCTTCCAGAAAGCAGTGGAGACAGCTAGGTTGATTGGGACACCTGAAGCCAATCAGGGGCTGGCTGAAACTAGTTAAAAACCTCCCAGTTAGTCAAGTGGGCGTGCATGTCAGGAGCTGTGGGAGGAAGTTGCGCTGTTGGAGAGACTGAGCAGTACATACCATATCAGGCACAAGGAAGGAGGCCCTGAGGTAAGGGTGAAGTGGAACTTGAGGAAGTGGGGGGCTGCTGTGGGGAAGTAGCCCAGGGAATTGTATGTGTCCTCTTCCTAAAAGGTCAGCTACCACAGATGATACTATTAGGGTCCCTGGGCTGGAGCCCGCAGTAGAGGGCGGGCCCGGGCTCCCCCCTTTGCCTGCCCCCGATTAATCACTGAAACTGGAGGACAACAGAGACTGTGCAAGGGAGGATAGTTTCTCCTCACCTCCCTCGCTGGCTTATGACTAAAATGGCTCAGTAGACTGTGACCCTTGCCTCTAGAGAGAGAAGGGCTACGTGGAGGGTCACAGTGAGACTCTGAGGCTAGCAAAATCCACCAGGGAAATGCGGGACCCACTGAGACAAGGACAGAGCTTGGTCACAACTGGTATCAGGGGTGGGATCATTGTTCACAGCGTGGTGGAAGAAGGAGGTTAAAAAAAAAGTGCCCTGGGGTTTGGGGTTTTTGTTTTGATTTGTTTGGTTGTGTTTGGTTGCTTTGTACCACAATGGAGGAGGTGGTAAGAGCTCTGGTATAAGCCTCGGCAGCCCAGCAGGAGGCCACCTGGGTTCAGGCAATGGCGCAACAGGAGTCAATGTGGCTACAGCAGGAAACCAATTAATTATTGATGGGCCAGGCGACCCAAGATCGTGCCCTCTTGCGAGAGGTTGTGGACCAGCTGAAGTTCTTCACCACCCAGGCCCGGGGGTCCAATGGGACGCGAACCCTGAAGGCCGCTGGTTGTCTGCCAAAGATGATGTCAGAAGATGACGTAGAAGCACATCTCCTCTCAGTCAAGAGGACTGCTCCGTGTGAGGCGTGGCCCCAGGAGCAGTGGGCCACCATTCTTGCTCCTTTTTTGTGTGGCGAGGCCCAGAAGGCCTACTTTGACCTGCCTGCCACGGATGCCACTGACTATACCCAGCTGAAGACAGAGATCCTAGCACGATCAGGGGTGACAGCAGCAGTATGGGCCCAGAGGTTCAATGAGTGGAAATACCAGGGGAACAAACCCACAAGGTCCTAGCTATTTGACCTCAGACACCTCACACAGAAGTGGTTACAGCCCGAGGTGTGCAGCCCAGCGGAGATTTTGGAGACCATTACATTCAAGGACTGCCACCAGATCTTCGCAAAGGGGTAGGCCAGAATGATCTGTCCACCTATGAAGAGATAATCACGCTGGTAGAAAGAGACATAACAGCCTGGGAATTGACCCCACTACCCAAGGAAGGCCCCTTTCAAAGCAAGCACTCGACCCCAATCCTGGAAGGTTGGGCAGCCCAACACATGGGGAGTCCTAGGTGGAAGAAGGGGGGGGACTGAAAACCAGTGGGGACCCCAGAAGGAAGGGATTGGCCTGAGTGGGGGGAACTCTGGGACTAAACCCCCTAACCTCCATGATAGGGAATGAGTAGAGGCAATTATAGATGTTATGCATGTGGGAAGTGGGGACACATAACCGCACAGAGTCCTAACACCGAGGATCCTGTGCAATGTAACTTGGGGGATTGGGAGGTCCCGTGCTCCCTTATCCACTTTGCGGGTGTCGCATTAGCCCTTCATAACTACACAGGGCCAGTGAAGATAAATGGAGCAGAGACTACAGCGCTTGTGGACTCGGGGAGTGCTATCACCCTTATATTGGGTAAGCTGGTAAAATGTAGCCAAACGCATAGCAGTGACATGCGTGCATGGGGCCATGAGCCATTCCCCCACCATCCCGGTGGAGATAGAGGTTCAGGGGAACCCCGTTGAGGTGACAGTGGGTGTAGTTCCTAAACTCCCATATCCTGTAGTTATTGGGAGGAACTATCCAGGGTTTGATAATTTACTCCCCCCAGTAAGGCTGGAGGGAGGTGGGGACCCTGAGGGCAGCGACTCGTCACCGGAAGAATGTCAACCCCTGATTTTCACTGAGATTTCTCAGGATCTGTTCTCAGCCCCCCAAAAGACCCAAAAGACCAAAAAGAGAGGAAGGCTGCAAAAGCTTTGGGAACCTGGATCTTGACCCAGGGCCAGAAGACTGCCCTAGTAGGCAGATGGACACGAGCAGCCATCATAGAAACTACCGGAGGCCGGCCCCAGCTGTGACGGTGGCGAGCCATTGGAAGAAGCAGAAGCCGGCCCCTGGAAGCTCAGGCAAGTTAATCCCGGGAGAGAGACTTTTGGGCGGGACCAGGCAGAGGACCCTAGATATGATAATGCCAGGAAACAGGTGGCCGAGATAGATGGGATACCCATGGATGGGAAGGTCCGGGGTCCAGGACTTTACTTTATAGTGAAGAAAGATCTCCCATACCGTGTGGGTGCAAATGCAGGAGCAAGAGATACATCAGCTTCTGGTTCCACAAAAACATCAAAAAGCCATATTGCACCTCACCCACAGTCACCTATTTGGAGGACACTTAGGAGTAGAGAAAACCCAGGCACGGATCCTGCGGAGGTTCTTCTGGCCAGGAGTACACTCAGATGTCCAGCGATACTGCACCTCTTGTCTGGAGTGTCAGCCCTTGCCCACACTTGCGGGCCCCTTTGATACCTCTTCCAATAATAGAGGTACCATTTGAACGCATAGCCATGGATCTGGTTGGGCCCCTAGAGAAGACAGCTCGGGGCCACCAACATTTATCGACCTTTGCCCGGGTTGGGCTACCCAAGGAGATATTGACTGATCAAGGGACATCTCTTGTGTCCAAGTTGATGAAAGATCTCTGTTCGTTGCTCCACAGACAAGCCCTACGGACCTCTGTATACCACCGGCATGTCAGGAGCTGTGGGAGGAAGTTGCGCTGTTGGAGAGACTGAGCTGTACACACCATATCAGGCACAAGGAAGGAGACCCTGAGGTAAGGGGTGAAGTGGAGCTTGAGGAAGTGGGGGGGCTGCTGTGGGGAAGTAGCCCAGGGGAATTGTACGCGTCCTGTTTCTAAAAAGGTCAGTTACCATAGCTGATACTATTAGGGTCCCCGAGCTGGAGCCCGCAGTAGGGTGCAGACCCGGGCCCGGGCTCCCCGCTATGCCCCACCCCGCCCCGATTAATCACTGAAACTGAGAGACAACAGAGACTGTGCAAGGGAGGATAGTTTCTCCTCACCTCCCTCGCTGGCTTATGACTAAAATGGCTCAGTAGACTGTGACCCCTGCCTCTAGAGAGAGAAGGGCTACATTGAGGGTCACAGTGAGACTCTGAGGCTAGCAAAATCCACCAGGAAAACGTGGGATGCACAGAGACAAGGACAGAGCTTGGTCACAGTTATCAATCCTGCAATGAGTGAGCTTCATACATTGTCAGTTAGCAGTCCCAGCTTCCCCCTGCATCCTGTTGCCTGGACAGATCTGTCTCCTTGCCCTACTTCCACACCCTGGTGTCCAGTCCCAGTTCAATCGTACCTCTCACACCTGCTTGGCTACTCTCTCTTGTTAGCATGCTAGCTCGATGAAAGCGTAGCCGTACCCTTAATCACTGCAGCATGCTCACCAGTCAGTGGAGTACACTGATACATAACTTTTCTGGCAAGTGCAAGAGCTGGTCCCAATGGCATTAGAGCAACCACCATTACTCTCACCCCATTACAGAGCTTCCGCTCGTTTAGCAGTGCTCTGGAGCTGATACTCACCGACACATTTCACTTTTGGATCAGTGAAGTTTTGCTCCCCAGAACTGGATGCAAACCCATGTTTGCAGGTGCAGTGGTAGCCCCAAAGAACGTTTTCACAGGTTGCAAAAACAGGACAAGTAGACGAATTCTGACACCTGTCAACTGTGAAAGGAAGAAGGAACCATGTCATTTAAAGAGAGCAGCGGATAACCCTTTGCAACTTGTGTTTGGCTTCATTCATTCATTAACCTTGTTAATCATGCAGCAAGGGAGAAAGAGTGGACCTAACAGAGCAGGTGGTTGAGGTGGGAGGACGAAGGCAGCTGGCCTCTCTTCTCAAGACATCAGGCAAAAGATCAAGAAAAGGCCTCCATCCCTCTCCCCTGAAGCTACTCCATGTTCACCACTTTTATATGGCTATGATCTATTTTGTACAAAGTATGCCTTGTGTGGTATCATTTGGAAACTCATAATCTGCTGAATATTATTATCCTGATGAAATGTATGTATTAATAGTACATGTGAAATTATGAGATTTTCCTGTCTGATTGTTACTGAAATGTGTTGTAATTCTTGGTAGTACCCATAAACCACTTCCTCAGAGACAAAGACACACTGGCATGCCAGCAACATGCTAAAGAGAAATCCCTTGGATAATCAGAGATTCACCAACTGTGGAGTCGTAAGCAGGAAATGTACACATCAGCTGAAAGACAGTCTGATGCTCACATACTGCCTACCCACATGACCCAACAAGGGTTTTTCCAATACACAAGGATTGGGGGGTAAGAAGCGGGACAAAAATCTCTGTATCCCCGCTCCTGTCTACCTTATCTCTCTCTGCTTATAACATCAATGAATCCTTGAAAAACACTGAACTAAGGGGAGTGGTCCCAGAATGGAAGTAAATCCAGCCTGTGAACTGAGAACTGCCTGCAGCATCTGGTGTGATGAGAAGGATGTTGGCTTCAAATCTTATTTAGCTTGGTAACGTTTAAGAATTAGCTTGAGGTTTTATATTTGTATTTCATTTGTAACCATCTCTGACTTTTGTGCTTTACCACTTAAAATCTCTCTCTCTCTCTCTCTTTTTAATAAATATGATTTATTGTTTTATCTACACCAGTCTGTTTGGGAACCCTCTACTTGAGATAACAAAGGTTGGTGCATAAATATTACCTTTTATTGGAATGTTGGACTATCAATGAGTTTATACTGTCCAGGGGTCTACTGAGCAGTTTAAGACACACATTTCTGGGGAGTCAAGGCTGGGAATGGGGATATATGGCTGTTTCCCTGTATCTATTCATTGAGACAGCATTCATGGAAACATCTGGGAGTGATTTTGCAGACTGGTATCTGTGCATGAGCAGGCCAGGAGTGGCTGGTCTGACAGTAAAGCAGCATAAAAAGAACCCCAGTTTAGGAGGTTAAGGGGACACAGCAGTTCAGTTGCACCCTGGGGAATTTCACAGTAGGAATATGAAGGATGGGATTTGGGGGAAGGGAGTTTCTGATCCTGTGAATAGGTTACAGTGAATTTTAGTCCAGAAAGAGACTAATCCCCCGCTAGGGTCACCATTTTGCTTTAAAATCCATCTCCACCAGCAGCAGCAAGAAATAATTTTGAAGGGTTCTGGTTACATTGCTGTCAGTAAAGATCTTGACTCCAGAGCTCAATGCATGGCCATCGTTGCAAGCATAAAAGTAACTCCAAAGGTCATGGTTTGAGTGGCCTGGCAAGGGCAAGATTTCCTGCTGAGACACTCATCCATGCCTAGGGAGTCATGCAGAAATGAGGGAACCAAGCCTGGCCAGGCGCTGGGTGGGGACTCAGAAGAGCTGGAATCTTGGCTCCCATTCCAGGCCCTGGAGAGGAGTGTCACTAGTGGGCACAAACTCTACTGTATGCTCAGACCGAAGCTTGGCTCCTTCATCTTCATCCTCGTCCCCAATTTGTCCCTGTCCCAGTGCTGTCTCTTCCCATCTCTGGCTCTTGTCCTTGTCCTAATCAGAATGCCTCAGGTGTCTCATCCCAGTCCTGGTGTCCTTTCGCAGCCAGTTCCCCTGCACCCAATCCTCCCCTCGCAGTCCCGGTCTCCTTTCCCAGCCAGTCCCAGTCCCCCTGCATCTCGGCTCCTCATTCCATTTGTCTCTCTCCTCCCCTCTTAGTTTTCAGCTGTGCCCACTGCCAGCCCCCAACATTCCCCAGTCCCACTGAGTCCCAGTTTCAGTGTCCCTCCCCAGATACTTAGTCCAATCTCACTGTTGTTCCCCCAGACCAGCTCCTTCACCCAATCTCTTTATCTGGCCAGTCCCAGCTTCCCCCTGCACCCTGTTGCCTGGACAGATCTGTCTCCCCACCCTACTTCCACACACTGGTTTCCAGGCCCAGTTCCATCCCACCACTCGCACCTGCTTGGCTACCCTCTATTGTTAGCATGCTAGCTCGATGGAAGTGTAGACGTACCCTTAATCACTGCAGCATGCTCACCAGTCAGTAGAGTGCACTGCTCCATAACTTTTCTGGCAAATGCAAGAGCTGGTTCCAATGGCATTAGAGCAACCTACATTACACTCAACACATTACAGAGTTCCCTCTCACTTAGTTGGGCTCCGGAGCCGATACTTACCAACGCACTTCACTGTTGGATCAGTGAAGTGTTCCTCCAAAGAACTAGATATAAACCCAGGTTTGCAGGTGCAGTGGTAGCCCGTGGTGATGTTTTCACAGGTTGCAAAAGAAGGACAAGTAGTCGAATACTGACACATGTCAGCTGTGAAAGTAAGAAGGAACCATTCATTTAAAGAGAGCAACAGATAACCTTTTGCACCTTTTGTTGGACTTCCTCAGTGTGGTTCATGTTCATTCATTAACCTAGTTAATCATGCAGCGAGAGAGAAAGAGTGGACCTAGCAGAGTAGGTGGCTGAGTTGGGAAGAACAAGGCAGTTGGCTACTCTTCTCAACACATCAGGCAAAGGATCAAGGCCTCCATCCCTCTCCCCTGAAGCTAGGAAAAACAGGAGGACGTGGGAAGGGTAGCTGTGACACCCTCTACCCCACGTTCACCACTTTTATATGGCTATGATCTATTTTGTACAAAGTATGCCTTGTGTGGTATCATTTGGAAACTCATAATCTGATGAATATTATTATCCTGTTGAAATATGTATAACAAACACTGCATGTGAAATTATGAGATTTTGCTGTATGATTATTACTAAAATATGTTGTAATTCCTGGGTAGTACTCATAAGCAAGTTCCTCAGAGACAAGGAGAGACTCGCATGCCAGAAACATGCTAAAGAGAAATCTCCTGGTTAATCGGAGATTCACCGAGAGAACTGGGGAGTTCTCAACAGGAAATTTACAAATCATCTGAAAGACAGTTTAGTGCTCAAATACTGCCTCCGCACAGGACCCAGCAAGTGTATTTCCAGCACACAAGGATTGGGGTGTAAAGAGGGGGACAAAAATGTGTGTAACCACCTCTCCTGTCTGCCTTATCTCTCTCTGCTTATAACATCAATGAATCCTTGAAAAACACTGAACTAAGGGGAGTGGTCCTAGAATGAAAGGAAATCCAGCCTGTGAACTGAGAACTGCCTGGTGTGGTGAGAAGGATGTTGGCTTCAAATCTTATTTAAGTTACTCAGGTTTAGAAGTTAGCTTGAGGTTTTATCTTTTTATTTCTTTTGTAACCAATTCTGACTTTGGTGCCTTACCACTTAAAATCATTCTCTCTCTCTCTCTCATTAATACTATTTTATGGTTTTATTTAAACCATTTTGTTTCATTGAAGTGTTTGGGAAACCTCTACTGGAGATAACAAAGGCTGGTGCATAAACATTACCCTTTGTTGGAAGGTCGGACTATCTATGAGCTTATACTGTCCAAGAGTCTACTGAGGAGTATAAGACGCACATTTCTGGGGAGGCAAGGCTGGAAGGATACACCTGGGTTCGGATCTGGAGGATTTTGTCCCTCTTTCTTGGCATCAACTTACCATCACTGGTGAAACATTGAGTCCCCTTGAAGCAGACGAGCCAGCAAAAGCCTGAAAGAGGAGAAACAACCAAGGATGCTCTTACTGCACTGAGTTTTAGTGCTGTTACCCTATAGGAGGCTGTGTGGCCTAGTGGGTAGAGCAGTAGGCTGGGAGATCAGGGTGTTAATCCTGGCTCAGTCACTGACCTGCCAGTTGAGCTTGGACAAGTCCTTACCCCTGTCGGTTTCCCCTTGGTCCATCTTTTCTATTTAGACTGTAAGTTCAAGTCAAGCATTGTGTCCCCACAGTGCCTAGCACAGAAATGGCTTGGTACCGGTGGAAACCCCCAAGCATGTCTGGAATATAGTCTATAGATAATAAAAGCAATTTTGGGGGATTTTCAGTGGGCCAAACCGTCCTCATGGGGAGGATGGGGACCTGTAAAACAGTAGGGTTGGAAGGATTCAATTTTTATTGGTAGATGTTGGTAAACATCAATTTTGCCATGCACACCGAAACCCGTGAAAAAATATTTCCGTCAATAACTATTGAAATTGACCGATAGGAAAAATATGAAAAATGCTGCTTGAGAACTTATTACGGTTTGATTTCAGGATCTTTACTTTATATATTGTGACTCGATATTGACAATTTCTGTTTTAACAATTACGGAGCTTTAACTTTTTGAATCTCAAGGTCTACTGTCATTAAACAAATATTGGCTGACTTCCCCCATGGCCTGACCTCTCCATAGTTTCCCACAACCAAGAAAATTTTAATTGAAATAAAAAAAAAAATCAAGTTGTGCTTACCCTGCAAACCAGTGTGGCTCTATTGACATTAGCAGAGCTACAACGACTGATAAGCTGGCCTCAGTCGTTAAACCCAAAGGGAGTTTTGTCTGCGTAAACACTGAGTGAGGACACTCAAGGTTTGTCACGTTCTGTAAGAGAGTGACTCACTTCTCCTATCACCCAATGTCCCCACTGCACATTTATCAGAACAGCTCAAAACACAGTTTGAAAGCCACTTCCTTGTAACCTGCTGCCGCAGTCCTGCTGTGAATCAACTGACCCTCTGCTACCTTCATTGACAGCTGAGCCTCAGAAACGTGCTTTGGATGCCACCATCAGAAACCGAACTCCTCAGCAAAAACCCCTCTGGAGCTGGG